GCCAAGCAGAGATGCACCATTAATAACATGACATCAGTGCTAGTGACCTCTGCCCATTCCAGAACTTCAATGTCAGTGACAAAGTTCTTTCTATGGATCTTGAAGATTTTGCAGAGGCAAGATCAAAACAGCAAAAAAAAAAAAAAATTTTTGATGTCAACCATATAAGTAACATTTTCTGAACAATCAAGACAACAAAATCAAGAAATATTTTTCAACCAATAAAAAGAAAGAATCTAGATTCTTAAAATAAAAATTTCTGAAGTCTTTAAGAAGAGTTATTATTCAGCACATCATTATCAAGGAGACTGTGCTACTCACAACACTGCACTGTCTTTTTATCTCCCTCTCTCTCTCTATTATATATATATATATATATATATATATATACACACATTTCATTAAATAATATATATATATATCTTTTTCTCTCTCTTTTGCACACACACGCAAACATTTTCTATTTAAACATTTTACTTTTTGATGAATTTTAAAGATGAAGTCAATTTGTAACTGTAGACATTGTGTTATCTGCTCTTCACAGTGACCACTGCTTCTAGGGGTCATTTGTGTACCTGTTAATTCCCATAAGGTATCCATATCATTTCCATATCTTCCAGACTAAGCATCAATTTGGTAGAGACTGAGATATCTTTCCTTCTAATTAAGATTCTCTAGCACAAGAATGCAAAAAGATTAAGAAATAAATGACCTTCTTAGCTCATAAGGAGATAAAAATGTTATGTACATATTGTATTATATATTTGTATTTATATTTTTGTGTGTAGCTGAATGTTTTCCACATGTATTCTATGTCTGTTTCTTTGTCTGGTTGAAATTTGAAAGACTGAATGTATCAGCTTCTAATAAACATCAGTAAAATGAAGTTGGTTTCCATTTTATGGCCAAGAGAAGCAAGCTAAGGTTCTGGATACACGTGTGTTTCCTGAAACAGGAAAGTAAGAATAAATATACAAACAATTATGTAAGTTTAACAACAAAAAATTATTACCTGAACAAAGTATATAATAATGTAATGATGCAAAGCGTGATTATCTTCCTTTGGTTGAGATAATGTCACAAGGGTTGCATGATGGCAGACGGGGGACATCAGTTCATAGAGTGTTGAAGACCAGTACACTGCAGAGATGGACATCACAAGCCCACAATACAATGAAAATTACATGATACATAGAGGATATCACTGTGCTGGCCTTTTTCCTATTAGAAAATATTACAAGAGCCTCTCTATTTTCATCCCTTTCACACTGCTTGTTGTATAAATATGTTATATGTATGGGAGAAATTAGTGATAAGTATGTATATATCAGTATAAAAAGATCTCTTTGAGAACAATGCATGTTTGTCATGCCTTTCTTTCAGCTATCCTCTTCCATCCATATATTAGGGTGTTACAATATCATGGATATATTAATGCCTGTAATGGAGAAAGGTAAACTGGGAATATTATTTCTTGCATAGCACCCCCATTAAGATGAATTCAAAAAGGAGTGAATACAGGTGTGTGTTTTGGAGATTATTTTTTTCTAATGTGTGTTTTCAAAAGTCCCTATAAAAGAGTGTGGAGGGGATATTTTGAGCAGCATTCTCTGTTGGTTTATTAGAATAATTACATTTACTTGTCAAGAAAGGTGTTTGTATGCTGTTTTCAATACTGTGTTGTGTTCAATGTGAACAGAGTTTTCATGAGAACGAAATGGCTCTCCAGAGAGAAAGCAAATTATGTCCTATCTCTTAGACATAGGCTTAGAGATAAGATATGGTTTGTTTCTAGCAAAAGAGAAAAAAGAGAGACTTCTGCTCTCTTTTCTTAAATAGTAATTTTGGAAATGCCCTCTAGTGGTCATTAGTAGAATTTTTGCATATTAGTGGAGTAATCTCACACAATCAATAGCATGCTTTTCTTTTTTTCATGCAAAACAAAGATTACTCAAACACCTACAAACATCAATTCATGTATAGGATGGATATATTATAATACATATATTATGATTCCACTAAAAGAATTCTGGCTCTTTTTGTGTTCTTTTAAAAGATGCTTAGTGGTCATTGTTTATCACGTATTACAACCTTTTAGCTAACTTCTATTATGAAGAGAGGAAGCAACCTTCTCTCACACTTTTATCTATGTCTGATTGTTCTGTTACCACAGTACAGAAACTGTATTGTTTTGCTCCCCCTTATTTGTCCCTTTTTTAGTTTAGGTATTTCTTCAATTGGCCCCCATTTTAACCACTTCCAGTTATCCCTCAGTATATCAGTGTAACCCCTTACAATAAAAGGATGATATCAAGTACATTGTCGGTAGTTTTATCATCCTTCTAATCTCACCTCCAATGTTAACCATCACTGGTTTGTAACTTTTAATACCGTTTCTCTCTAGATTTGTTTATTTTATTTCCATGTTATTATTTGAACATTTGTTTAAAGTAGCCATATTTTATACATTTGTTGTATCACGTTGCGTCAAATCCTTTCAAAACATGTCGACATGTCCACATACACTGTTGCAAAATGTAACATTCATGTAACTTCCTTTTCAGCAAACTCACTGCAACATTGAAATGTATTCCTGCAGCAAACTTTATACAATATTCACATAAACAAAGTGTTTGCTACATTACTTTATACCCATTTAGACAAATAGACTTAGTTTTATGTTCAAAGCTCCGGTTGCTTTTGTCATATTCTGTGTTACCCTTGTTTGTATTTTCCAACTAACTAGTCTTATTCATATGTATTTATTTTCCTTTACTAGTTATACCCTTTTGCTTATTAATCAACCTGCTGATAAACAGGACTTCAGAGTCTTTAAGGTGGTTATCTGCCTGTTTTTGAGATTACACATGAGTATGACATGTACTCATATTCTCGTGGGCAAAACACTGATCTTGCTGAGCCATCTCATGGCTGATTAGGTATAATCATCTTCTATACTTTTTCACCCTTAGAAATGAACTCTAAAATGTAACTGATCCTATTTTTTCTCGTTTTCTTAAACTCAGCTTTTTTATTGGTTAGAACTTAAACACAGTTGTCTACATGTGTAACATGATTGGTTTATTTTTGAATTCATCATTAATTATGCACACACCTCAATAACTTGATTTGATTGGTATATAAGAATAAGTGGTAACAGTAAGAGATAATTTTAAATCTTGAAAGATGAACATCAACAAATTAGCCAATTAGATGGCAGTTCTTGTTACTGACAGAGGCCATAAATGATGGGATAAATACCGTTATCATGACAGACAGACAAACACATTTTGACCTTTCGTCTTTAATGTAAACTGCACTTCTAACACTAATAAAGGAGGAAAATAAATTTCTTTCTTTTCCCATATAACATTAACCGTTTTTTGTTGTTTTACTGTGTTTTCATATCAACTAATGAACATTACTTTTGCTCTCTTATATCTGAACAATATTGCTTTTATTTACAACAATAATCCATTATAAATTACTATGCATGTTTAAGATGAGAAAAGCACTCCTTAGGATATTAAAAAGAAGACAACAATTAGTGTAGAACGAAAAATGGCTTCTCACCTGGAACAAAATGCTCTCATGTCTCATGTGCAAAATACATGAAAGAAAATATCACCAATCCAAAAGCTACAATTTAAGAACAACTTGATCTTGGGGCTCAGATTTTACAAGATAAATTTGTGACTTATGTAAATTTCCAAGCTTCTGCCACTCACTCAATAAAGTGAGCATGAATAAGAGAACAACAAACGGGCAACAGAGGGCAAAGTCAGGTGATCATGCTTTGTGTGGAGTTTCATGGTAGTCTTACCAATTGTGATTGAAAAGAAGTTCAGGGTACAACTGGTACTCCAAACAACCATAACTTTTTTGCTACAATGAGGATAACCATTCAGATTTCTTTACAAAAAGTGAGAAATTTAGTGGATTGCAAGAAAAAAATAAAAAATAAAACCTTTTTCTTTTTTTTAACATCCAAACAAAAATGATGGATTTTAGACTAAATATCAAAAGCTGTATTTTGAAGCTTTTAAACTGAGAGACACCATCTTCTTTTAAATTGAGAGACATTATCTTCTAAACTGAAGGAGCAGCAGAAAATAAATTATTGGATAACAACAACAAAAGTAGAACTTTTTTTATAGTGTGAATTATTATTATTATTATTGGCAGTGGATTTTATTTCCTGAAGTTATTCAAATTTTTTCCCTCCCTTTATGAGCCACTTTTCTTTAAATCTATCCACATATGAGGATATTAAATTGATGGGCATTGTCTCAATGAAAAATTCTCAGCTGCTTATTGCGATCAAGTATTTGGAAGTTCAGAAATTAATTTTGGCAGTGGAATTATATCTAAATCATCAACTCTTACACATTTAAAATCTTATATACATAAAATAATATTGTAATTTCCTTTATGTCAACTATTACCATCAGAACCATCTTGACTTGAAGGCACACTAAAAATCAGTGTGACTTCTCATCTTTATTATAACTGCTTGTTTACAAGCATATCTACCTGCTCAGGCCAATTTGTGTTTCTTCAACACCAACAGAGCTGACCTGTAGTTTATATTGCAACTATGCAAAGCTGAACTAAATTGCAGTTTGTGCCCCACAAGTGCCACATAGGGTTTTAAATTCAGAATCATCATTCTCTTATACTAGTAACCAACCATAGTAAGAGGGTTCAGTCTGCCCTTCTATTTAACCCATGGAAGAGGAGAAACATATTTTGGGATTTTAAGAATAATTTCTTTTTTTTTTTTACAGGTGAATATTGTATTAACAATTTCTTAGAGATAATGATTTTCAGATACAAGTCTTACTTTTTAACCCATAGCTGGGGAGAGAAGAGGTGGATTCATATCTTTCCCAATGATATTTAGACATAAGTGAATGTAATGAACCCAACCAAAATTCAAAGTCAGCTTTCTGACTTATAATTCTCAACCCTTATCCATTACACCACCCACACATTCAATCTTACAGCAACTGGTGTTCCCAAGTGGTTACCCATCTAGGTACTGACCAAGTTTGATGTTGCTTAACTTCAATGATCAGATTAGAAATGGTGTTTCAACATGATATGGCTGCAAGTCCACCCACTGGATTGGGTCGTACAGACTTAGGCTCATTGGAAACAGGACAATGTAATAACTGAGTTGTACTTAAAGGAACAAGATGAGATATCTCTAGAAAATGATAGTGGAAGAAGAACAATCTACCCTCATAGATTGTATAAAGGGTTCAGTTCAAAATTCCCTCAAAGTTACTTGGATCAACAGATGCCTGAAGAAGGCCAGAGAGCACAATGGTCAAAATGTGATAATAACAACAAAGATAAGGACGTTAGTTCAAATGTAAATAAAGTAAATCTTGAATTCCTGTACTTGTAAAATCTTATATACCTCAAATCCTGTTGAAAGTCCTGAATTCTGAAAGTATTTTGGATAAGTTTTCCGTTAACCTGATTGAGAATTGACAGTGTGTCCTTAAAAGAGAAAATTTTAAGTATACAAAATCCTCTTTTAAATTTTTATATTCATGAAGATGACAGAAAAAAATATTTTCATCATTCTCACATACAGAAATATGTGCACACACACACATGCAGATACATACATACACAAATCCTAGAAGTAAAACAGCAAAGAAATACTGACCAAGATTTTAATCAAGAAAAAAATCTTACATTATTTGGTACCTTCAGAAAAACAACATAAGAAACACAATTTTGTATAATTTACTAAAAAGAAAACAGCTTTAATTGCCAAAGTTTCTATTTTGTCTGTGAGAATAAAGCAAGGTTCATTAGTTGAATGTGTAAACAAAAGGTTGTGTGACCGTGCACACCAATCAGGTAAAAACAAGAAAATTCTTTTTTTTAAAGGATAGATTTTATGTTTATTTTTGTTTTATTTGAAAAAACTAGAAAATGATATTTCAACACTTTTTACATTTTCTACAAAGAAAGAAAAAAAGGAAAAACAAAGAAATAGCTGTGAATTGGATTTTTGAACAGCATCAACCTCCATGATGCATTCCATGCATTTTTTGATACCAAGTTGCCAGCATTTTTTCCTTCAAAAAAAATAGGCATGCAGACATAGCAGTCTTCAGCCTTGTTCTCTCAGATGAATTTGAAGACATATACTCCAGGAAATGCCATTAGCTCTTCTATGATTTGTAGACTTACTAAATAGTCATTTAGACGCAAATCATGAATGATGTCCATATCATTGGAAAAAATTTGAATCATCAATCGATGATATTTGCTGATCTCCATCAAAACATCGATTGAAGATGCCCATCATTTCTGGATTAAATCTTGTCAGAAAGAATGGTCTGTATTGTCAGGTGTAACAACAGATGTAATAGTCCTTGGCAAATGAAATAGAGATTGTAGCTATTCTCAAACCAATTGTTGCAGCTCAAATGAGAGAGACAAGATGATTTAGACAGAAAATAAGCAACTATAAAATTTATAATTAAAAAGTTGGGCACCAGAATTTTGGAGCATATTGCACTATTGAAAATTTGGAAGAAGAAATAGTTGAGAATAATAAAGGATCGAAAACTTATGATGCTATGGAAGTTAAAATGTTGTGGTTTTTGTGTATTTTAGGTGAAGGTGCATGTTCAATTTTTAAACAAAGAAAGTGTCTCTTGGTTATGACCATTCTCTTTCTGGTCCAAAAGTTAGGTAGAGAAGTACAAGTATTGTATTTATGGTCAAGCTCAAGTCAGCGTTGCAAAGAGTTGGAACAACCAAAGGAATGTTTCTACTTACTTTATGTTTGAACTACTTCATAGGTTGAGGTTTTTGGAAGGTACTTGTGAGTATCATGTGTCAGAAAGTGGGAAGAAAGTTCACTTATCAGTGGACTGGGTAAACTATATTCCTAATGGAAATATAATTACTATGTGATACTACATCTTGGAGCAAGAAGGAGAAAGAGAGTGAGGCAAGAAATGTTTACCTTTTTATAGGCTTCAAAAATGCCACCTAACAACATTTTTCAAAACCAAGTTAGGTAATCATATTTCTGGTTCCTTTATGCTTACCACCATGTGAAAATGTATTTCTTTTTCTTTTTATTATTATTATTTTATCTATTGATTTTATTTAATTTTCCCACAATGCATTCCCAGATGTGTTCACATCTAATATTGCATCCTGAGAAAACTGGAGCTTAATGCAATCCCAGTATTATTTCTTACTCACTTCTGGTGTTGTTGTTTTGAATGAGCAACACCTAACCTTCCACATTCTGGATCCGAGCCAGCATGGATTATTATTTATTTTTGCATAATGATCCAAAGGAAGTCAATAAAAAAATACTTTCTGGTTTTAATTCTCTTTTACACAAATTCAACACAGTTTTTTTTTGCTTAATCCATGCAGTAAAAATATCATTAAAATTGCATTTTATTCATGAGCAATTTCATATTTAGAAAAGATTCTCATGTTTTCTGTATACTTTTAAAGACTGAGATTGAATCAAGACAAGTGCAAAATTATGTTTCACCAAGGGATATATGCAGAAATTAAAATCTGTTCCTAAAAATCATCTGAAGATGTGATATGTAAGAACTTACATAATCCTGGCAGATCTGTTTGTCCATTTAAGGAAAACAAATGCCATTGGAAAGGCAACTCTTTAAGTTATGTAGATGAAAATGAAAAATATTGGAAACATGGAACATGAAGAAGACAATCATATTCATAATGATAAGATAAATGTTTATCACTTATCATCAAGACCCTTACAATGAGATTTGATCTACTTTGAGAATGGGAACAGTTGACATCAGAAAGTATACTAAGAAAAATGTGGGAAATTTGTTATCACTTGATCCTAAGCAACTGTTATCTTGGAATAGGAAGATACAATGAACAAAAATCAGAATAAGAATATAAGAATACCAGAATATAAGAATACAAGACTATTGAGGAAATTGTTATTGAACAGAAATTTGTAAACATTTTCTCCTGAGTGATGATTACAAGATACCTTGGTCAATATTTTTTTAGTTTTCTCTTTATTCCGTTTCTATTTGCTTTCTACTAAAGCACTTAAGAAAGACAGGAATTCTTACCAAAAAGATAGAAGCAAAGTATAAAACCATTAAAATGTATTCTGCAATTTTCAGATGGCTCGTTATTTTTCCAAATATAGATCAGACCATTGATCACATTTGTTTTATTGCATTTTTTTCTACCACACTTGGCTGCTGATTCTATGGCCTTCTGCATCTTTTCAAGGAATATAAATAAGTGTTTCAAATTATTTGATTTTAAGTTTTCCTTTTTTGGTTGCTTTCAATTATCAAACATGTTTTGCTTACAACAAAAGCAGCGAAAAGACTCAATTGTCAAAATAGCTTTTGAAAAAAAATCAAATAAACTGGAATTGTTGAGATATCAGGTTAGAAAATTTAATGAAAATATTTGCTGAATAGATTGTGTTTGTGAAATATCTGTGACCCTTTCTCAACTCCATTGTCCAAATGCAGAACATGTTTGCTCCTGTCTGAGAGATGAGAACAATACATTTTCAGAAAAATGTTTTTTCTTAGAACCAGTTTATTCCTTTAAATTAAGAAATCTTTTCAGAGTAGACATATTTTTTCATTTTATAACATAATCGAGCATTGTGCAGTCTGAGTTCAAATTCAAGCAGACGGAGTTGTGTTCTCTTTGTACTAATGCCCTTGAAAAAGGCATGAATCCATCTCTTCCTTCAGCTAGAGGTTAAATAGCAAACTGAATTTTTTTGATTTTTTTAAGTGTAGCAGGCAATGGGAAACCAACCACTGTATCATCTTTCCAAAGAAAAATGACGGCAATGCACAGTTTACAGATAATAAAATAAAAGGAAGTTATGGAAAGCCATGATTATCTATGTCCTGAAGTGATAGAATATTAAAACAATACATTTGGCAAGAATCTGTTATAAATAAAATAAGACATATCTCGGCTGATTTGCAGGCAAATAAACTAACATACTTAAGAGCAAGAGCCGGATGTGAACAAGGCCCCATCACAAAATGACCATTATCATCATCTGTGCATAAGCCCGACGCACGAGTTCCGGTCGAAAAATAAAATAATAGTTTGAAGTGTTTCTATTTTTCGACTAATAAAAATGCTTCCCTCCTAATTATACTCGTGTCGTTTTTCGAGCCTGTTAAGCCATAAAAAACGCCATAAAAGGGGTCGCACGGGGAAGTACAGAAGTAGTCAACAGGAGGCCAGGGAAGAGATCTGTCACAGGCAGTCAGCAGCAGTAGTGCCACGCCAACCAGCGAGAACTAATATGAGAGATCAACCCAGGTTGGGAGCCGGCTTATGAACTATACCACAAGGTAGCTGTCCCAAAACCACTTGTTCCTATTAAAATAAATCACGTAAATCTATTTCTGCTGTTGTCGTATTTCTTTCTTGCAACTATACGCTTGTCTATAACAAATTGAATGAAGCAAAGTAAAGCTTTATTATTATTATTCTGTCCTTATTGATTTTTGGTTGATGCAGTTCCTTGGTTTATTCAAATAACTGCTTCTCTCATGGTCACCATTTTGCAATTTGGATTTCTCTTGTTTTCCATTTACTATTTCACTGGAAACAATACACATAACTGAAGATTTATGCTGCAATATGAACTACAAGTCTAAAATCCTGAACAAAATGGGTGAAAAAAGTTTATGTTACAGATCAATTTGTAACTAATAAATTCTATCCTCACAGGGGATTCCATGATTGTAGCCTTTCGTCAGGATAAGTTTAATAATTATTGGGTGTCCAAATCTCAGTAAATAAATATATTGAAAAATTTATCCTATGTCAATTTTTATGTTGTACTGGGGGGGTGTATTTTCTATTAATTTTCTGGCCAGTATAAGATATGAAAGTCCCTAACCTTCATTCCTCAAACCATAATTCTCCATCATTTCCTAACCATTATTCCTCAAACCATCATTACCCTAATCATCAGCCCCCTAACCATGATTTTCCAACTAAATAGCAAGACAGACTGGGTCCTATAGCCTTGGGTGGCAACTGGTCTAGAAGGACAACTTTTAATTCAAAACC